AGTATTCTGCAAGGAACATGTGTGAGAGCGATAGACAGAAACCCAAATTGCAAAATCACGAAGTCGCCCAGGTAGTCATGTACCAATCAGAGCGCACAATGCACCAAGATACCATCCAAATAAGAGCAATACAATGAACTCGTATGCCAACGTCGACGCTCTCTGGCCACAACAACACAGTATCCAATGTCGCTCCTACTGATTGGCTCCCAGCCTACATTACTCAGCCTATCTACACCTAGCTACGTTCATGCAACTGCATCACATCGAAGTTGAAGACCTATGCGCGTGGCGTCATCACCAATGCAGAACGCCAGCATACACCAGGTACGTTCTCTCTCCTCCCCTCATCACACCTGGTCTCCCTCTGCATGCGCCTCCTACCCGAAGACCACCATCGCCATCACCTTCTACCCGCACACGCAGCCTGGCTATGGCCGCAGTGCGCCCGCTGCCACCGCAGCGCCCTCTCACCGCTTAGCGGCCACGTGCACCTCCGGCCTGACTGCTTAGCGTAGCATCGCAAGGCAGAGAAAAAGTGTGGCCGCATTGCCTGCTCAGGCCAGTATATCATGCCCAGGGGCACACACTTTCCTTTATGGAAAGTTCACCCTGGTGCTGGCTGGTCTGGCCAGGCGTGCAGGGGCCCAGTAGCTTCAAGATGGCCCCAAATGTCTGCGCCCAGGCCCAGTTTCACAGATACTGGCCTGGGCCTCGTGCAGTTAGGCACATCCAGGCACCCTCCCACGCTCCAAGTGCCGCGATCTCATTGGCCTGTGGTAGGTGTGTGACGACAATGCTGCATTCTCATTGGTCGGTGGCCTTTCCATGATGTGTCGGCCTCACAGTGCGTGTGCCCAGTGTGCAACCACCTGAGCCCTGGGCTCAACTGTTCGACGCAGCTACAGCTTCTGGAAGGAGCCACGAAAGGCTCACGTTGTTTTGTAACCAACTGGCGTGCTGCAACTGTCTGATACCCGACATACGGAAAATGTCCAAAATTGGCCTTACGTGGATATTCAGGCCCGCCTTCACTTAGGGCGGGCACAAGGCTTGTTGGGGGGCGCAGCCCAGAACACTTGCATGTCTGATAAGGGCCCACTTGCATGTCTGATAAGGGCCCCGCGAGGGCTCGGTCCTCGCAATTCTCATTACATAACCTGCCCTTTTTAAGGGGTAGGGAGGAGTTTGCCTCCATGCCACACGTGCAGTGCATACAGTGCAACTCAGCACTGTGTGTGTTACATCTTCGACGCCACACGGGTCCTACCGGACCCGATTTAGGGCCAGAGGGACACAGTAGGGCCTAAAGGCCCAGACTTGGGGTACAGCAGGCCGAAAGGCCACATTTTTGGACCACTCCGATGGGCAGGCCCAAACGACATTCTCGTTTTGGGCCTGGCGGCGCTTTTGAGGCTGCCTCCCGCCGATCGGATCTGAATCGTCAATCTTGACAGTTCAGATCACGGCCAGGCCTCGCAGCATTGAGGCCGGCCTCTTTTCCACCGGTACTAAAGACCGGTGCAGCCTCATTGTGAGGCATCGAACACTGGGACGCTGCTCGAGCGCCAGTCATATCGGTTCAGCAGCAGGAGCAGCGCCAGCGCTATTCTTAGCGCAACACGGAGGAGCAGCAGCGGCGAGCAAGGAGCCAGGCAGCATCCATCAGCAGCGCGGCGGCCATAGCCGCCTTCGACCTGCAGTCGGACACAGCCTAAGCCAGGTACCAGGAGGCGAGGGGTTCTTCTCCTCCCTCCATGGCCCCAGGCTCTCCCCTCCTCACCTCCTCCTCCTCTGCCATCTCTTCTTCTTCTTCTTCTTCTTCTTCTTCTTCTTCTTCTTCTTCAGACTTCATCTTCTTCTTCTTCTTCTTCTTCTTCTTCAGACTTCATCTTCTTCTTCTTCTTCTTCTTCTTCTTCTTCTTCTTCTTCAGACTTCATCTTCTTCTTCTTCAGACTGGAGACTTGATACTAGTTGGACAGAGATCAGTGTTGGACTTCGGTGGTAAGAGGCTGTGGTACTTACCGGATTCGAGACTTGGAGATTGTTGGGGTTGATACT